TGATGGAGATTTTCATGACCCTTGCACGTCTACTGATCTTCACTTAACTATTACCTTGATTACCTTGGTAATAGTTAAGTAATCAAGGTAATAGTTAAGTCTATTATAGTCTACACTTAACTATTATATTCTAAAATATGAAATTCTTATGTTTATGACGACTACAGTGAACTAGATTCAATTCATTGTTTCAGCCTTCACTTCCACTTCAAATGTCAACCTAAAATTCAATAGTTTCAACCTTAACATTCCAGTGGAGAGTTTTCATTTCTATTCTCCATGTCTGCAAAAAACACTTCACTTCGAAGAACAGTCTCATTGAAATTCTTGCTGAGCAATACAGTGGGTTGTTGAGTAAATTAACAAAAAGTAGAGAAGGTTCGAGAGAAATCTCTCAATTGATTGATAATTCATCAATTCATAAGTAAAACAAAATACTGGTAACCTATCGATACCGTAACCAAACCGGTTATTCGTTTTGTGGAAGTAAGTGTTTCGGGCAAAAAATGATGAAAATACAAAAATAACTTAGAAGGTTTATCACTTCATTACTTGCTGACTGCTAAACATTCAATATGATTAAAGACGTTGTATCGCTATCGTATTATCATCGCTCACAACTTGATATTGCGCCGCAAAAAATGAAGACTGATAAATTTGTCATTCACTGTCATTCAGCAAAAAATCTTCCTTGACTCATTTGTTTCGTCAAAAATTTTCACCAGTTTATAGAGACTACTACAGATCGAGTTTGATGAAATTGTGATCGGTGTATTGCGAGTTTCTCATGAATACGTTGAACACACCGAACATATGAATGTATGGAAACGTTTCCAACATCAGAGACCTTTGGTCTCAACTTTGGTCTGTCTGCACTTATACGACTCGTAATTAAACAATACAGTGTTTGTGTCTCAGCTTTAGCTATATCTGGCTAATTAGCGAATAAGGTAAACTGGAGTGGGAACTGAAAATTGTGACTGAAAAGAAAACTTCATTTACAGTTGGATTTGAAAAACTCACTTTTGTAAATTGCCTGGATCTTCTTAGCCTTCTGGATGCCATTCAGGCTGTCATCTTCTGCAATTTTGCTCAGCTCAGCATCAGCCTTCTTGGCTTCCGGAGTCATCTTAGCGACTGCCTCCTCATGAGCCTTCGCCAATTCAGCCTCTTTTGCTTTCATTTCTTTCTTGAACGTTTCGAACTTCGCCTGAAGAATTTGAAGCGTTGCTTAAGGATCTACAGGAGCTTTGATGTCTAATGTTAGTCTTCTCAAAATGAATGGGAAACCACCCCGCCAAAAGCCGATATGACACAAGAGGCCATGAATAAAATATCAAGTGAAAAAAAAGATGAATAGCGATAATCAGTTTGGATTCGGACTGATAATCGAGGAGAAATGCATGAAAAAGATAAAATATTTCAAATCACTTAGTTTATCAACTATAATTAGCATGCGACTTATGCTGATACGTGTTCGTACTTTCAAGAGTTTAATGAACTCTAAAGTTGATTCACTAACACAGTTGATTCATGAATACCTTTACTAAGGATAGTTCGTAATGATCACTCACAATTTTGAACATGCTACAGATCAGTTTTGACAATATAGCAGATCAACAGATCAATAATTTAGATCATCCATATCAGCATTTGCAGGCCTCAATCTATGAGTATGTAACATACGCTTAAATTCCACAATTATTTGTTTCATCAACTAATAGCAATGCCAAAATGAACAACTACTAAAGACTGGAATAAGATTGGTTTGATAATAACGATATCGCGATGTGCACTGAAACAATGATAATAACAATAAATGCGTAAACAAATCACAAATGATCACAAACGGAATTCGTCACTGGCACTAACCTTGTAATCACCGCCAAGAGTGTCTACCCATGCATCGAGGTCCTTCTCGATTTCAGGATCGGTTTTTGTCTCGTCTTTTTTCAACAACTCGAAGAAAGCTTTCACGACGTCTTGTGGTGCACCGGCCAAGAATGGTGGTGGAGGGGGAGTATCGTCGGCTAACGCCATACCGATGGTGCAAAACAAGGCGGCTACGATCAGAGTTTTCATTGTTTTCGGAAGTCTACTTGCCTTCAAAACTACCAAGCCTATAAGCATAATAAAAGTTAAGGTGCTTAAAAGATTAGATCAGGTGGAACGAAATAAATTGGTCGCCGACTAGATAAGCTTGAATAAGTTGTGA